GAATGTGTCGCAAAAATTATGATTTATCACCATAGACAAGTTCACAAATCGTTCGCACCATCACGAAAAACATTTTTTTTCTGTCTTTTGTTTGTCTGTTTTTTCCTCGTCTCTCTCTCTCTCTCACACACACACACACACTCTCTTTCTCCGTTTTGTCGGAGTTGGTGTCGGGTTTTTGTGTGAAAATCACAGAAAAATCAACACAATTAATGAATTAGAGATACACAACATTTAGAACTGCACTTGTTTTGTCTCTCTGACCCAATGTTGAACCGCAACAATAAATTATACGCATTTTTTTTCTCGAGTGAAATGAGAAAATGAGTGATACATTTGAAATATGCAACGGATTTTTTTCGAACTTTGAATTTCAGCGGCGACAATTTCAAGTGTGATGCTTGACGTTGAAAATCAACACAAATTTTGATGCGAACGAAGAAAAAAGACATGTGTTTTTGCGAATGAGTTTCATCAAACTTCTCTAAATGAAACTATTGAACTCATTTTTTTGTTTTGGTGTCTGAGCTTCATTGGTTGAATCAAAGACAACAACAAACAATTTAAATGGAAGACGGAAAAAGCAGTTTTTATCAGAGAACAGAGAGTAAAAAAGGTTTAAAAGAGAAAAACAATTTTCATTAAATGAATAACAGCATGAAACAAATGATCGTTGACATTTTTTATTGACTGAATTTCGGAGAGTCTTTAAGGTCGATGGCAAACATAGGAACAATTGAAAAAAAAGAACAAGAATCAATAAAAGGGGCTCCGTGACATCTTTACTGTTCGAAATTGATGGTCATTTATTGACCTGATGTGCAGGTCACATGGTCTAGGTACAATAATAACCATTTACGTAAAGGATTTAATCGAAAGACAGGTGTTTTTAACTAATAACCGAACCTATCCACTTACAACTGAACCTATTAATGAGGTCATTTTTTGAACTTCATTATCAACCATTGATGAATTTTTCCGTCGTAAGAAGATGCATTTTCTAACGAATGTCATAATAAAAATGGCCAAACGTCGCATGTTTGATAGGTCTTTTATTCCATTTTGAACTGCAAATTTCGTGGTTCAAATGTTGGTCTCATTTAAAATGTCGATGTTATTCCATAAAATTGAATCGTTTGCAATTCACATATACTCATAAAATTGATTATGTTCGAATCGAGTGGCCAGTTGAAAAGCCAATGGCAATGTATAATCATGATAATTAATAACTAAAATATCGGTGACGCGATAAAATGTGAAACGATGTCATTTAAAAACATCCAAATTATCCACGGCCCAAATTGAATGAAACAGGCGAACTATCGAGCCAGTCAGCCACCTAGTCAATTAACACACAACATTTTCATTATTAGGTTTTGGAAATCCACCGGGTAAAAAAAAAATGTTTGCCGGTGTTGGTGAGTGAGTGAACAAACTAAATAATAATGTAAATCGCTGATTGTTACCGGGTGATACCATTCAATGGCATATAATTTATCTTTTCGTTTCGTGTGTTTGAAATCAACGCGTATCGTGTTTGTATTCCGTTGCGAAGATTTGAATTTTTTTCTGTTCCGAAAATGAAAAATGATGCACAACATTCGGACACACATCCACATTAACCCTCAACTGCATAAGCCCACCTTTTGGCGGGCATCATTTAAACACCTGTATAATGTGAATCGTACGGCGGATGACATTGCTTCAAGGGGAATTTTTATTTGTCAATGTTTTTTCTTTATTTTTGTCTTTGGCGTCATTTGTCTATGTCGTACGATTGGTGAGTTATAAACAAAAATGTGCACGAAAACGAAAATTTGACAAAATAAATTATTCGGTTTCCAAATTAGACATATTTTTGACACTTTTAAACAATGGATTTCATTGTTCTCTGACTTATTTCTATCGCATTTCCTGACTAAACCATGGGAAATCTAGGATTATGAATATTTTTTTCGTTATCTATGGCCAAAAATCAACCAAATACCAGTACTCCCAGTCCTAGGAAAAATTCATGCAGTTGAGGGTTAAATGTGGTACACGAAGTTCGTCAATTTGCTGCGTCGTTCCGTTTATCGGCCGTTTCCATCAGAACGAAATGTTAATTTTGATGGCGCTAGAATTATGGGATCTTTAACATTCTTATATGGTGTGTCTCTTCAAATTGATTTAGTGTCTTCATTTGCTTGTTCCCAAAATCAAAAAAAAAAATGTTCTTCAATTAACTGTTTGTTTTGGTCGGTTGTTTTTTCGTTTCTTGTTCGGATCTCAAATGGTCCAGAACGAGTTTTGTGTTGGGTGCTCGAAGCCAGAGCCAAAAATATCTTTGGAGACATCGTGTTATATTTTCGATCTCTTCCATGGAAGAAAGTGTGACGGTGAAACTCAAGATATTTCATCGAAATGGGCAATAGCGTGTCCAATGACTGAACCATATCAGAAAATGACGCTGATTTACAAATAGATTTCGATGGTTCAAAGATTTATCGATTGGGACCAACATAACGCGTTGATGCATATCAGAAGAATTTTTACATCAATATGAATTGCCCGAAGCGCCTTGTTGCATCGTTTGACAGGTTTGAATCCATTGAATCCGAAAGCAAATTATCGACATAATTAAAACGAATTAGAGTCTGCTTTTTTTCCACTGCTTAAATATCACCGTCATCGATGTGACGATATGTCTGATCGTTGATTAAATTATGGACGGTCCTCAGAACGCGGCTGGAGTCAGACGACAGAAACCGAGCCACGAACAGAACAAAGTACCAACAAAAAACATATACCAAAACCAAACCTTGTTATTTGTAACATAAAAAGAGCAATGCCTTCATTTCAACCGAACAGATATGAAGGCCGAAGAAGAAAAAATCGTCGTACATATGATGATATTAGTTTTTGCTTTTAGCTTAGAGTTCGATATATTGTTTACGTCTAGTTTGGCCCGCTTTCGTAATTAATCTCTCTCGATAAACCAGCTAGATTTTCTTGGCGCCTATTTCACACAGCAGCAGCGGCAGCATTTGTTTTTACTGACAAAAATTAAATCTCAATGGGTTTTGAATGTAAACCAACCGAAAATGCTCTCACATGAAATCGATCCATTGAAGAGCATGCTACCCAAATAAATCCTTTGGCTTTCGCCTCTCCCGACCGGAGAAGACAGAATAGCCCACAAAGCACAAGACCCAAACCATCAAATCACAACACACAGATGTTTATTAGATTATGATAAAATTCGAAAATATGTATATTAGAAACCGATAAATTGTCTATGGATTCGGTTTTTCCAATTTATCGCATCGACAATCATGATTTATAGGCGTTCATTTGTGCAGCCGTCGTTGCTGTTGTTTTTGGTCGTCGTCGTTGCTGTTGCTGCGCTGCGATCATCGGTTCATGTTATTGTCACAATTTCCATTGAAATTATGATGATGCGGTTTTTTGACCAAAAAAAAAACTCCCCAGCAGTGGAACAACTTACCTTCCAAAGAGAAGAAAAAAGGTCGCGATTTGGGAGAAATTTATTTTTTCTCGTATTGTTCAAAATGTTGAACAAAGTTCAATACGCCGAATCGGGTATATTTCGGCCTGCCAACTTCAAAATTTATTTGGGAAAAAAAATCTTCAACAAAAAAAACTTCCGAGGATAAAATTGTACACACAAAAGCAAGTAGTTAAACGTCATCGCAAGTCGGGATAAACTATACATTTAAAGGTGCAGACACCTACTTTTGGGACAAATTTCATCGTATTTGTATATGTCAACACCATTCAAATATATAGTTTATCCCGACTTGCGATGACGTTTAACTACTTTTGACGATTTTTTTTGTGTGTGCGCTGAAAAGAAAAAGAAAAAAGAATACAAATAAAATCCATCGCGATTAATTGTCATATTCGAAACTGTTTTCATTCACTTTATTTGAATACTTGTTCCTAAATTTATCATTACATAGTTGTTTTTTTGTTGTTTTTGTTGTTGTTTTTGTTGTTGTTTAATATTTAAAGTGGGATAATATGTTGCTTATGTTTTGCTGTAGGTTTGCCTGTTTTTTTCTCTTCATTGGGTGTATAATTTTGTTGTTGTATTTAATTCTATTTGCTTAGTCTAAACCATTCATTTATACACAAAATAAACGGGGGGGGGGAGAAGAAAAAAGAAATCAATAACTGAATTTCGCATCATTCGAAAGACATTTCCCATGCAAAAAATTTCGTTTCGGAAATTTTTCATCGAATGGGTTCATTGTTTAATGGGTTTTTCTTTCGCTCAACTTTTCAATTCTTTCACATAAATTGTCAAAATTCTTTGAACTTGAACCATTTATGAACACGAACAGCAAGAGAAATAACAGAAAAAAGTCCTTTTAAAATAAAATGGTTGCAGCAAATTTAGAACGCAAGTTGGAAGTATTCTTTTTTCTTTTAATTTTTCACTATCGTTTGCGGCAATATTCAAAATGAAATTATTTCATCAGTTTGAACACCAACAAAAAATTACTCTGTGTGTGCGCGCGCATCGATGTACGTATCTCATCAACATTTATTTAAATCAAAATCAATAGCTTTCACGACTAAAATGTTATACAACTTATCTAAGGATTCTTCTGTTCAAGCGCAACATAAAAAAAAAAAAACAGTAAGAACAAATTTGCCTCCATCGATCGCTTGTTTACACTTAGTTTTATCAACTCTTTAGGTTAAATGAACTTAAATCGCGCTCTCGCACTGCGTCCATTCATCATCACATTCTGTGTATATCTCTTTCGTTCGTTCTTGCTTTTGCTCATCCTTTCTCACACACAATCATTCCGAGATAGCATATTATTTTTTTTACACAGAAAAGAAAAATTATTGTTGTCATCTTCTTCGTCGTCGTCTTCTCCTTTTTTTTTTAAATGATTTCGTTTTAAGTTAATTTGTATCATTGTGTGAATTATGATAGAATTATCTATAGGTAGCTAAGGGCATTTTTTTTTATTTATCATACGTAATTTGAATAGTTAAAATTAGAAATCGTGAATATCTAAACTTATTGGCGCTTAATGCATAATTATGTAACCTATTAGTTATATGATCTTCTTCATTCAGTGTCTTTTTTTAATATCTCAACTTCTTTCTTTCGATTTATGTGTATTGTTTTCACCATGTTTTTCCCTTTCATTAATTTTTTTTTTCATCTGATTTGTTGCTAAAATCAAATTATCCTCCAAGTTGCCTATTAAAATGATTCTTCATGCTTTCTTCAATAATTTTTTTTATACCGTTGATCGACAATTTGTTTAGTCACGTCGCAATTCGAATTGTGTTTGATTGATTATTCTTCTTCTCTTCTTCTTATCAACGATTACTCTGGGCATTCTTTTTGTGTCACATTCCCCATTCACTTTTCACAATCGAACGAGTTGAACGAAAAATAAATGAGAGAAAGATAAAGGGGAAGAAAAGTTTAAGTGAACTGTTGATTGCGAATAGCACATTGATTGTTTGCAATTGTGGAGTATGAACCCAAATCAAATTGATTTGATCCATTTCCTTTACGAAACGTCGAATTTGTTCAACTTTTTGAATTGGATTGATTTGAGAAAAGGTATTGAAGATTGTGCAGAAAGTTTAAAAGTGGTGTGTGTTTTCTCTGCTCTATCGAATTCAAAGGGATGCGTCAATGAGTGGGAGATAGTGTGTGAGACTCAAATATGTATAGCAATTACACTTAATTCATAAAATTGAAACGAACAAAAATTTAAAGCTACTCAAAATACATAATATGCGTGATTCAATTCGATTTGTCATCATTCATTTACACAAATTTTTGTTGTTCCATTCTTAATGCTTATGATAAATCTGTAAGTGTTTTTTTATCTAGTTTTTTTTTTCTTTCATTCCTTTTTTTAACGTTATGATTTGTTGATTCTGACCGATTCGGATTTGTACATGAGTCTAAGTTTAATTTAATTGTATGTTGGTTTTGATGGTCAATTCCAGTTGTTGGTTTTTTATATAGATTTGTTTGTGTAAATATTGGCCGCTCTCTTGTTTTTCCATAGCCTTAGTATTTACTTGAAAAAATATTATGTAATACTTTCATCGTGTCTGTGTGTGTTGTTTCTGAGAGAGGAACGGGGTGTCTGTAGATTTGCGTGTGTGTGTGTGATTTTCTTTGTTTTGCTTCTTCTTCATCTTGTGGATGTGTTGCGATTAGTGTGTGAAACCATGCGCGTCACCATCTTTCCATTTTTAAATGTGTTACCATTCCATTTAGTCCATTTTTTTGTCGTTTGTTTTCAAAATAATTTAAAATCTTTGGTGATGATTTTGTTAGCTGCTGCTTTTAAAACCAATACAAATCTTTTGAAGATTCCTGCACTTGAGCCTCAAGACCTGCAACGAAATTGAAGACATTTTCATCGAATTAATACAAACGTTTAACAATTTGTTGATTATTGCAAAAGATTTGCGTAGAATTTCTATCAAATATATGAATACTGCTTCATTTCGAAAGGAAAACAAAATTCAAGTGAATTGAACTTACTTTTTTAAAATAAAATTAAAGATATTAAATGTAAATGCCGAAAAGTATTGAATCTAAGTCACAGAAACGAATTTTTCGAGCAAGCTTCATCAACAAGTTCGTTCGTTCGATGAAATTAAGCGATGTGAACGTGTTTAAATCTGAACAAGATTTTTTTCGATCAAAATTGGAATATATTCCACTTGAGTGTGATAAATATCTCATTTCTTCGAATCATCTTTGTTTCAACCATTTTAAAAATAGCTTTATTCGCATGTGGAAAAAAAATATGTGAAATAAAGCGACCCAAGAATTGTCGTGGAAACGGCATCAACATAAAAGAAAAACCCTTTTCTAAAGCAGCGACATTTTGTGTCGACCGTTTTGCCGATCTCTGGTCCATATAATGAAGTCGATTTCCAAGTTTTGCGTTTGTTCATTCGCTTATTCAATCAACCTACTCACTCCGTCTTCGCTCCAGCGTCAGCGTTACTTCGGCTGAAAAGTACATGCGAGACAAAGAGAGAGAGAGAGAGAGAGAGAGAGAGAGAGAGAGAGAGAGAGAG